AATAAATAATTCAAATTGTATTAGTTTGCAAAACCTTTCAAATACACTTGCAAAAAAGTTGATATATGTTTATGATTGAATAGTATTCTATTTATATTATTTATTTGACATATTATACATAGTTATATTACAATATTATAAATTATTTTTGCCAGTTATTTATGTCCCAGATCTTAATTTGCTACACATAAGGTTCAGATATTTGAAAACAAATTAGCCACATTTTATTAGCTGTCACTAAAATGACTTTAGAATATTTTAAATCAGAATATTATATCCTAATAAAACTTAAGAAGAAGGAGGCCAAATTTTCAGTTTGATGTGAAATCTCTTACCATCGATATTTGTCAAGTTTTACTTTTAATGAATGTAATACAAGATTATTTATTTTTCAAATTTACTTTAAATATTTCTAAAGTTTTTAATATAATTTTTTAAAAAGAAAAAAATACCCAGTTGTTTCAATACATTGCATTTTGTTTTAGTTTATTCTATTTTATTATTATTTATAAAAACAAAAATATGATTATTTGCCTTGAAATTGTGCTTGAAATATTTTTGAGCAACATTGCAAACGGATGGAATGACTATGTAAAATTATAGGTTTTGAACAGTGATCTATTAAATGAAGTGATCCTATTGCTAGCATGTGTCATTCTTATTCTCAAATACACGGATCATGTAAGTCCATCATGTGTGTGGTCTACCCTGTGCTCACCTGCACTCGAACTTCTGGCAGGCTGACCTTGAGCGCGAGCTCCTCTCTGCTGTACACGTCAGGATAATGCGACTTCTCAAACGCTCTCTCGAGCTCGTGCAGCTGAAAGGTTGTGAACGTGGTCCGGTTCCGCCGGTGCTTTTTCTTAGGATTTTCATGATCCGATAATTCACCACCATCCGCACCCGGCAGATCCGGACTGACCATGACGGAGGATCTACAGACACCTGTATAAAAAGAAGGAGGTTGAGAAGGTGTGACGTGTTCATATTAAAATTAAAATTCACGTATTAAAATGATTTTTCTTTTTTTTTTTAAACTTCACATAAACCACTAAAAAGATTTTAAACTTTTAACATCGTCATATTTATTTAATTAGCCTATATTTTAGACTTTTTCAAATAAAATGTATATAATTTAACACTTTTTTCTGTCTTTTCCTTTCTTTAAAAAAACTTTTTTTTCCATTTACAATAAAAAAACTAAAAACTCTTAAAACTTTTCAATAGCCTAAACTTTTCAGATTTCATATAGCCTAATATATCAATATTGAAATGTCTATTATGTACTTGTAGAAATGTATTCATGACTTAAAATTTGTTATTTAGTATAAAGTGCTGCCGAAACGTCTAGTTTTAAAAGCAGACAAATGTCACGTTGCGAAGCTGTTAACTCACCTTCAAAGTTTTTGGAGTTATTGGAGTCCTTTTTGGGGGAAGACAAACGCTTAGCGTCTTTGACCGGCTTCCCAGATCCATAAGAAAAAGCCGTGTGGAAGATATTCTCTCCTTTAAATCCCAAAATGGATTCAATGCTGTGGATCCTCGTTTGGGACCCAGGACTGCGCACCAAGCGCGCGGATCCAAGCGCGCGGATGGGTTGAGACGCTCTTCCATATCTTGGGACTGGGATCCAACAAGCCTCATCGAACGTTTTGTTTCAGGAAAAAAAAGAAAGTACTAAGGATTTCTAGCCTATTTCCTATGCAAGACACTCTATTTCCAATAATCCAGGCTGTCCCAGCAGAAGCAACTTTCTCCAGTAGTGGACCTGCACACACTGAGGATGCAGTGGCCCCCAGGGGCCTTATATGGATCCCCCTCGACCGGGACTCTATTGTGTGAGTGACATCCCCTTCGACACGTCAAGAAACGTCAGATTGGCCGGAGTGAGGGATGTAGTATTGTCCCCGAGCATTTAACTCCTCCCAGAGATCCTTGTGGGCATAATGGCAGCTTTATAAACCGCCTTACATAAATCTTAAATCATCTTTTCCCACTCCAGATGTCTTGATCATGATGGCCTGTAGAAATAAGAGGAACTGGGGCTGGGATTACATCTTTGGGGCCGAAACAGATCAAGATCTCTGCACGCGCAAAATGCCATTAAAAATGTCAGCTTGTAAAATGTTCTGTGGTACACTCGCGCCGAAATAGTTACTTGTATTGTACAATATTGTCTTAAAAATAAATGAAAAATATAGAAATAAAAATACAACAAATGACAGAAAGCTTTAAAAAAGCTTTTTCTGACACTATTTGAAGGAGATTCCGTGATAGTTTATCATGGTGAAATAACGAAATTGGTCATATCACTCTCTTCTGAGGTGACAGTAAAAACTGAATGTCTCCGTTTGGAAATATAGCCTATAGGATTTGCAAACAAACAAACAAACAATATATATATATATAATGGCATATAGCTATTTGCCACGTAACGTTTGTAAGAGTGACCGACACACGTTAGGCCTATTTCTATAATTAACAAAATGTTTAAAATGAAATGGTAGGCCTATTCTTTATACTTGAAATAATTTTACACACATTAGGTTGCAGTGTTGGGGGTAATATATTACAAGTAACGCAAGTTACGTAATCAGATTACTTTTTTAAAGTAACTAGTAAAGTAACGCATTACTTTTTAATTTACAAGAGAATATCTGAGTTACTTTTTCAAATAAGTAACGCAAGTTACTTTTTTTTCCAATTTATTGATTGACAGCTCTCCTGTCCCCATGGACATGCATGTTGAGAGAAATCAAAAGATGTTACTGTGGTTCTAAAATAAATATGAATATGCATTAATCATCTCACTCACAACAAAAAACAAAAAAACACAGATTCAGTATTCCTCAAAAGGAATAAAAATAATGCAACTCAGAATATGACGCAAACCTGCAATAATTAAATGTTAAACAACACAAATATCCTTTATGTATTTATTCCCATTCTATTAACCAATGTCTTTGCTTCTGACCTTCGATGATCCAGTTCAACCATACTAATAAGCAAAAATTACTCTAGACGAACATTTGTGTGTCTTTTTTTATTGCTGAAGTGTGTTGAAATTTCTTCTTCTGCATTCTACTGTACGGACGTAAATCTACTTTCCCTTCAGCCTGAGGCTTATTCATTTCACTTTTGGTGTGAAAGGGCTTTTATATTTGCCAAAAATATAACTTTTTTATTTTAAAAACAAACAAGCAAGCCCTGTCCAGATTTAAAAAGTAACGCAAAAGTAACGTAACGCATTACTTTCCATAAAAAGTAACTAAGTACCGTAATTAGTTTTATGGAGTAACGCAATATTGTAATGCATTACTTTTAAAAGTAACTTTCCCCAACACTGTTAGGTTGTAGATTTTTCAACTAATTTGTTGCAGCTAAATATGGAAATATTACATCAACGTTTGAAACACACAGAGGAAAGATAAAATAAAATAAAATAATAATAAAATAAAATAAATAAACCCCGAGTTACAGACATTTAAACAAAATGTGTTAGCCTAACACTCCGCGATTTACAATGGTTACCATTTTAAATGTTGTAGCCTAACACAAAATTATAGTCTTGCTAGCCGATATAAAAATAAATAAAATATAAAATAAAGTAAAAACAAAGCTTAGTCTATATATAATTTCTAATGAGAATATAAAATGTTATTCATAGTCTGTTTGTGAACGACAAAACAGAATAGGCTATGTTTAGGCTTCTTAGACTATAAAACTGGTAAATTGGTATCGGTAGAATGAAATGATCCTGAGTTTTGATGGTGAAACATTAAAGCAGCCTAACTAACAAATTACAACTCTAAAACGACAAAACACCACCAAGAACTACTTTAGGCCTACACTTCGAGCGTGGAGTGCTTTCGGTCATTAGGGGATTTTGTTACATGAACAAAACGCGATCTCAAGCAGCAAGCACGCGACCCCTGAGAGCTAGCCTACAATTGAGGTGCAGTTAATTGGAAGAATTTGCAAACTTCCTCAATACTGAATGGATACGAGTAATTAAAGATTGACAGCAGTCTGCTAATCCGCAGGACACACGCTGGTTTGAGGGGATTACACACTTTCCCCCCTCTGTCCAAAACAGCACAAATCCTTTCAACTGCTTGGCTTTTCCCTAATTACAACAGATAATGTTGGTATTTCGAGATTTATTCAAAGATACACACATGCGCGCGCGTACACACACACACACACACACACACACACACACACACACGAAAAACAAAAATACACACACACGCGCGCGCGCACACACACACACACACACACACACACACACACACACACACACGAAAAACAAAACCACACCGCAAAATATAATAGATGTTTTGAATGTGTTGAGTAAAAATTCAATCATTCGTTCGTTCATTCATTCAAATCTTCTTGTACTTTTTATATATCGCCTTGTTTTCTAATTACCAATCACTGCGAATTTCAATATGTAACTACAGGAAAGTATATTAATACAAGTACACATTTTAGTACCTTTTTTAAATGATAGCTGTTTGGTTTGTGGTTATTTGACTGTTATTGGCGTGACAAAAATTAAAATTAAACAAACAAACAAAAACATTTTTTTGTTGTGTTATTGTGCAGCCCCTTGGTCAGCGTTAATGTTGTTTTAAGCTGCTATATAAATAAAAATGACCTTGACCTAAAATGAGGTCACATAATGTGAAGTCACAACATTACAATGTTACCATGTCTAGTGAAGGCATTTAACTTGTCTTAAACTTGACAATCCTATTAGCAGGTAATCTTTAAAAGTCCAAAGCCTTTCTTTTCATATTTATTTTCTCCTGTCATGTGGTAACAACTTTTCATGTGAGTTGCTAAATAAACCATGTTTTTCAGACCCTTTTTACCAGATTTAGTTGTTTTCATGCAAGTATAAAGATACATGGCATAAAACATTGACACAGTAAGATTTCATGGCCCAGAAAATCTCACAGACATGTACTTATTTTGATCACAAATGCATGACAGACTCAATCCACTGTTTTATTCATGTGTTTAATCTGTTTACACATGAGACATCAATCCTATTCATGCCTATTTACCTCACATAAAAACTTAATATATATGACTAAAGATTCCTAATGAGCATTACAATATCATATATGTCAATGCTAGATGGTCTGCTGTCAAAAAAAAAAAGAAGAAGAAGAAATAACAGCATCACATTCATCTCATCCCTTGTGCAAAAAAGCAGGAGGGGGATTTAAACAGAGATTCTCCGCCTCAGGTTCAAGTTAGATGTTTGTTAGATATATCTACAGGTAATATTGCATATTATAATATTACGGGTAATAAAAAAAAAAAAAAAGGAAAAGGAGGGAATAGACTACAACATCAGTTATTCAAACAACACAAACAAAAGAAAAAGTCCTGCAGCATAACTGGGAGCCAAGCAAGAGAAGCTGAAAAGCTGATCTAGAGCCAGATCTTGCAGCTTTTGGGAACTAAAAACTTGGGTGACTTCTTTTGACATGCTTTCACATGAAATTTCATTTGAAGACATGTCAAAAACAAAAAGTTTTTCAAAACTGTGTTTCAAAAACCTGACCTGGTTTTTGTATCAAAACTGCATCAAAAACCTGACCTGGTTTGTAGAAATGTGTGAATGTGTTAAAAACCACTACATGACAGAGCACTTCTCCTCAGCCTTGGACTTGATCTCTGTCAGTGTAGCACTGGCTTTCTCTTTGATCTGATCCATGTCCATGTTCTGTAAGTTCTGCATCTGCCCCAGGATGGAGTCCTTCTCCTCCTCCTCCGTGGCATCCTCATCCACCATCTTCAGCAGCTCCTCGGGAACATCCACGTCATCTCCTGCTATCTGGATCATGTTCTCGTCCTGCTCACTCTGAGAGGTAAATACACACCGTGTTACTTTCAAACACAGTTCCACTAATGTATAAATGCTAAAAACAATGTGGACCAGTGGTGCATTGCAGTTACATTGAACATCCCGACCAGCCTTACATTGGCTCAGCCTCAGCCAATGAATTTGGGGTGGATCTGTACACTGTTATGCACAATAATTTTAGACTCTACTATCCGTATGTTAGTCTTTTGCATTATTGCATTACTGCATTACATTAAGGATTTAAGAGCGAGAATGAAGCTGTACAAAGGCGAGCAGATGTTAAGGAAAGCCAGTATGCTTGGAGGCTTGCAAAGACCTCAGTTCACTCTTTTAATCTAGTTAGCTGATTTATCGGGAGAGCCAAGAACTCAGAGCCAAACAAAGCATCCGTATGGGAGAAACTGCATTTGTGTATGTGCGTGTGTGGGAGCCACAGCAAACTGGGAATGCTAGAGATGGTTTCAACTAATTATTTTAATATTAGAATGATTTCTGAAGGATCATGTGACACTAAAGACTGGAATAATGGCTGCTATTCGTCGGCTTTGTCATCACAGGAATAAATTACATTTTAAAGTAAATTAAAATAGAAAATAGTCTTTTTAAATGATAACATATTAAATATAATAAATATTTATTATTTATTTATTATATAAATATTTATTATTTATTATATAAATATTTATTATTGAATAAATATTTATTATATATTATACAAATATTTATTTATTTTATAATAAAATATTAATATAAACTGTAAACAATTACAGTTTTTTTTTTATTTTTTTTTTATAAAATATGCAGGCTCTGTGAGCATAGGAGACTTTTAAAAAATATTTAAAAATGTACTGACCCCAAATTTGAATGGTATATAAATTATAACCGTAACCTTAAAGAAAAAAAAGTTAATGCCAGTTGCCAACTGAAGAACATTTCCTTATTAAATGTATTCTTTTTGAATTTGAGAAGGGAGGGAGTAGCAAAATGGCTCTTACTTTAGGAAGTCTGTATTTTTCTCGTAGACAAACCCTCAGAGTGGCCCTCTCTGCTTTCTTGTGCAAGAAGTCTGCATCTCTTGCCATTCTGTGGATCAGAAATGTTTTGACGACACTTTATTACATGCTAAGACAAATACAGCGCATTAATCTAGCTTTAAACAAATACAAATAAATAAATAAAAAATTCCATGTAATATAGTGGATACAAATCTTGTGATTTTCATGTAAAAAACATACCACCGTAAACATGTATAATTCAGTGGAAAACATGCACTGCACAAACAGTTTGTTTAAAATCCATGTGTGACAAAACACTGTAGCAGTAAAATAAAATGATCTCCGGGGTTTAGCTCTACAGCTTAATTCCAGATAAAGAGCTTCAGGATGCTTACAGCATTGTTCAGGCAGTGCTATACTTGAGGCAAAGCTCCTAGCTAGCTTACCAGCAACAACTAGATAATAAAATCCTATTGATGTTTGATCTGAAGCAACACAAAGATCTTCAGATGTTTAGATGTAATCTCACAGCAGGCATGTATGTTTACTGTATGAATCATCTGTTTCTAGCCTTAAGTGAGCCTGTTGATGTGAGTTATCATCACATCTCATTTGAACATGAATAATATCAAATCTTGGGATTAAACTGGCAATAGTTGCAATCAGGCTTCAGATGCTTTTTGTCTGTACAATTTGATCTTTATGATTGGTGTGTGTGTGTGTGTGTGTGTGTGTGTATATATATATATAATTGAGTTTAAAATGTATGTTAGTTTGCATATTTACTTTTATTATATATGCAAATGTTTTTATGACCGGAATGAATGGCATCACTCCATGTGTTAATCTGGTTATGTAATCATGTTCCTTGTTTATAAGCAGCACTGAATTATAAACACTGTGAATTTCAGAAATCTACAAATATATTTTTTTAGATAACTCCATTAAATCAGACTTCAGCTGTTACACTTCAAATGTCATAATTTATTAATTAGTCATAAATAAATATCAGCTAGGTTTTTTTTTTTGACAATAAACAAAATGTCGGCCATGGTAAAATAAATATAAATAAATAAATAAATAAATGTAGATTTTACATATGCAGAGGTCTAACATTCTCCAATACTTTCATTGCTCACTCTCTATCATGATTGCTTCTAAAAATAGCATTATCCAGATCAACAAGGCCAGGATAACGCGTGCTAAGCCCTGCTCTTAGGACTGATTAGCAGCTAGCACCTGACGCTTACTTTCTGATACCAACATGGAGTCTGTTCATCTTTAATCACTGAGATAGTTTTTTTACACCCTGACGTAGTTAAGGTGCAGGTGTTTGCATGAATACATCATCATGGAGAATATCAGATGCCTTTAAGATTAAGTTTGCATCATTCTCTTGCTCTGATAATCTCTGCAGCTTCCTTTGCAATGGACATCAGTGCAGTTTTTATTTTAATTACAGCATTTCTGTGATGTATCATCAGCTTTAAGTGTGGAAGATACAAAAGGATCCAGAACCAAATTGGCAACAGTTGGGATTAATAATGCATTAATCTCACTAAGAGCAACACTATCTCCAAAGAATACAGACTTAATATGCATAGATTCTTCCTTTACTTTGTCATGTCATTAAATGCTAAGTATGTAAGCACAAATAGGACCTGAGGGGCCCAAACCTTACTTACTTTTCCTCCACTACCTGCTTCTGGTACTCCTCATATTCTTCTCTAGTCATACCGGCGGCCGCTGCGGGGTCCTTGGGGGTCTCCTCCTCAGCCTTTTCCTCTCCTCCTCCAAATCCCATTCCCTTCAGTGGGTTTCCCACCATACTTTTAATTAAAAATGCCATTTTTTACCCTGCTGGAGTCTCTAGATTGACGTCAAGTTGCGATTTCCTGAAATCTTTTGGTGAAATTCCTTAGTTTCCAGCAGAGAGGTCCGTCAGATGGATTGTTGGTGGTCTAATTGGAGCTAGGCTAACCGACCTGCCTGTCTGTTATCAAGGGCACACTGTTGACTACGAATGGCGGCCAGAAAAAAAACAAAAAACGTTTATGCTGCAGCCATAATCTGGATTAAGATGCGGCTGTCTACACTGAAAGGCAGATGGCTGTGACTTTCTCTTTTCCACACAATAAAAGTTAAAGAACTCAATGCATTTATCAATCAAAAGCTCTAACTAGAGGACAACAATCAGAGAGAAAACTTGAAAACTATGAATTCTGTGTTTTGCAGACTAGGTCAGCCTCTGCTGTTGATGTCATGTTTGTTGCATCCACCCACTGACTGCTAATCACATTACTTAATAAGGGACTGACCAATGCAACGTAACCAACCGTTACTAGATTTACCCATTTGGGAGCCCAGAGAATTAGGATTACAAACCTATTTATCTGTTCCGCAGAGGAAGACCAGGAACTACGAATTCATACACGGTATTTACCTGCAAACACCTAGGAGATGCCGCTGCAGTTCTTCAATTCTTGTCTGCTGAGAAAATGATAGAAAAACAGATAATGGTTACTAAACATGAAACTTCACTTGCCACAGATTTCTGGTGGTTTAAAACAGTTAGCTGGTCTTCAGGTGGTCTAGTTGTTCTCCCCACCTGGCAAAGATGGTGTTTGGCTGATTTAGCTGGTCAGTGAGCTAATTTTTCAGGCTGACTAGCTAACGAGTGCTCAAAACCTTTCTAAACTTGACCAGCCTGGTAGCCAGCTAAAATCAGCCTATTTCTACCTGTATTGACAACGTCTTATTAGCACTGTTTAAACAAGGAATAACTCAGCTCAGGCCTTAAATTTGCCAATTAGCATAGCATGTAGCATAACATTCACACATGGAGCAGCATAAACTGAAAGTAATTACTAAAAGGTCGACCGAAACGTTTTCCATTTATACCTCTTGTGAGCCCAGGAAAAGCACATCTACAGGATTACAAACCACTGGATTTTGGTGGATTTCATACACCATATGTGACCCTGGAGCACAAAACCAGTCTCAAGTCGCTTGGGTATATTTGTAGCAATAGCCAAAAATACATTGTATGGGTCAAAATTATAGATTTTTCTTTTATGCCAAAAATCATTAGGACATTAATTAAAGATCATGTTCCATAAAGATATTTTGTAAATTTCCTACTGTAAATATATCAAAACTTAATTTTTGATTAGTAATATGCATTGCTAAAGACTTCATTTGGACAACTTTAAAGACGATTTTCTCAATATTTTGATTTTTTTGCACCCTCAGATTCCAGATTTTCAAATAGTTGTATCTCAGCTAAATATTGTCCTATCATAACAAACCATACATCAATGGAAAGCTTATTTATTAAGCTTTGAGATGTTGCATACATCTTAATTAAAAAAAAAAAGACTGGTTTTGTGGTCCAGGGTTACATATTTACTTGCAAACTTCCAGGAGATCCGGCAGTTTCCAATAGTTGTCCGCTGAGAAGATTCAAAGTAGACAGATAATGATTATGAAACGTGATGTAGCTAAAATATTACCTGAAAAGAACATCACTCCTGAACAAACTCACCATGGATTGCTGGTCTAAACTGGTTTAAAACAGATGGTCTCCTAACCTGATCAAACTGGTCTTCAAGTGTTCTAGCCGGTTTTCTAGACTGTCCAAGCTAGTCTTCAGGTGGTCCACAGCTTATTAGCTTTTGCACTGAATTGGCTCACTTCAGGCATTAAAATGGTCAATTAGCATATGAGCATGCGGCATACATTTTTAAAAAATTTTTATTCACAGATGACAAGTACCTCGGGTCAATTAAACTCAATTAAATTTTGTGGTCTCGTTTAGTGAGGTGATTATCTCCCTTTACAGCTCTGTCACTTTGATTGTCTAATGGTACCTAAACCAGTCTAAGGTGGTGTACCTACGAACTCCCATGACCCTTGTTAAAAAACAAAACAAAAAACCTCAATGTAATGACTGAAAGGTCTTATTTTATTATTCGCAGTTAACAAGTACCTCAGGTCAATTCATATTGTAGTTTGACTATTGTCCAACAAAACTCTCATTCTGTGAGGCAATTATGTCCTATTAAAGCTCTGACACAGTCAAAACTGAAGCTGACAATGCCTGTCCAAGGTGAAGACACAGCAATAAGGATATCATTGTGTCCCTACAGTCCCATAACTGTTCAATTATGGGCCTATTGGAAACATAAATATGCTGAAAACTATTATTCCTGAAGGGAAGGTCATTTTAAGAGGGAATTGTTGTGGACAAAGTTCTTAAAATTTGAATTTACCTAAGGTGACAATATGGTTGCCTTGAAAGGGCGCAACTACTATTCATACAGGAAGTGCAATGAAATGAGTCAGACACAAATGCACAAAAAACCCAACCTGACCGTCATTTAAAGCACTAAGAATAATTGCACCTGAAGTGTCCTTAAGTAACTAGGTAGTTAAAATGTAGAGGAGACCATTTGAAATGGTTCACAACTGCATCTCCTGTTAGGGCCAGTGAGCTCGTGCTGGGTTGAACGCACAGCATGCTGGGATGGAGTGACAGATGTGCTAAACGTACATGACATCTCTCTGTGTAATCCCCTGAAAAGAGAGAGGAGGGGGTGGGGGAGAGAGCGAGAGTACGCAATCAAGCCAGAGCGAAGAGAGAAAGAGGGACGGAACGGCTGGTGGATTATCAGTGCTGAGAATCATCGGCATATCCCAGGATTCCCAGCGCAATACTCTGTCACAAATGGATGCTAGTAACGAGGACACCGGCGGCCTGTAGCATCTAAACAGTCATTCAGATCATAACAGTGGCAACTTCCTGTGTGTAATGGATCATTAATATAGCACATTTAAAAAAAATCAATAAGCAAACTAAAAGATTTAACAAAGGATTTGAGGATTAGTTATTGTAGCACTATGAACATTAACTTTGTATTTGACACACCTAAAGCAAATACGCTATTAAACATCTAGCAATTGACTAAGTCAGTGATTGTCTGCAGGCTGGTCAGGATGCTCATACAAACTTACAAACATTTGATAGCATCACATAAAAAAAATAAAATTAAATAAAACAATTTTAGCCCATTATAACATTTAGCCCATTATAAACTGCTCAGCCTGTTTTTCAAAATTGCATTTGTTCTTTTACTACAGAGAAACACAGAGAAATATAAAATACAATAAAATAATTAACCCTTATGACTGGTTTTGTGGTCCAGGGTCACATATATATATAGAATTTCTTGTATTTTTCAAAACAATCTGGATTGCAATTGCTTCAGTTCTTTCACCTCAGAAAATAACAGAGAAAAAATACAATTAAATAAAAAAGGATATATTTCCAACATTTCCGATAATAAAACATTTATCCTCAACTCTATAAACCGATCGGCCTGTATTTTTCAAAACATTCTGGATTGCAATCGTTTCAGATCTTTCACTATTGACAGAAAGCCTTTAAACCAAGAGAAAAAAAAAAAAAAAAATGTATCCCATCAAAACAAAAAAATATAAAAACTATAATTTTTGACATTTCCCATGAGAAAACATGTATTCCATCATAAACTGATCAGCCTGTATTTTTCAAACATTCTGGATTGTAGTCACTTCTGTTCTTTCACTATTGACAGAAAGCCTTTAAACCAACATGCAACCAGTTGTGATGACTGGAGCTGAATAAAGGTGGAGAAAGTGTGTTAAAGCCCTCTGTCTCTGATCTAATCCCTAACGATGGCCCGGGTCATAGAAGCTTCCATAGAGCAGCGCTATGGCTCTCGGCTGGGGTTCTTACAGAATCCCCTGCATGAGGCCGGCCCTGTCAGACAGAGTTACATCTGCATCCAGCTGCACTTCTGCTGTGAGCTGACAATTATATTACAATATACTCTAGCAACAGGCAACATATATAACAATATACTATATACATATACACACAGACACATACAAGATTTTGAAATAAAAATGAGACAACACGAAAAGTCTTTGATTTGAGTTTTATGTAAATTGTTTGAGAAGAAAAACATTTGAGTTTTTTTTAAAGATTCAAAATACACATTCACAACTTCAGGTTCTTGCTTTCACCAATACAATAAAGCTTTAACACTTTTGGATGAAAAATCCACCTTATTGTAGAGGTATTACCAAAGGGAATGCGTTAAAATACTTGATCGTATTGCAATTACTTTTTAACCACAGTTCAGAACGTTCCTGGGACAGTGATTGAGTTTGTGAAATGAGTCCTGGACCAGTATTGAACAGTAAATATAATGTCAGACCTCTTAAGATTATATTACATCATATTCAGGAATCTTCCAATGCAAATGCCACACACACTTGGAAAAGAGCAGTCATTCAAACCCTGTACAACTCTGATCAAATTAAAAATCAAGAATTAAAAAAAAATATAATAATCTCAAACAAAATACTTCAGTTTTCAAGTATAATAATTTACAGTTTGCAAACAGAAAACAAACAAACTGGAAATGAACAAAAAAATGGACAATTTACATGTTGTGCTGTGTTTACCAAGAGCTATGAATCATCAAAAAAACTTCTTAGCTGCTGCTTCCTGCTGACTCCTGGAAGGAGAAAAAATGAAATAAAAATAAAAACACTGTCTATGACAAAATAAATCTTTTACAATCCCTGAAAAATGGTCCTAATTTTTGTTCTGTGCATACAAAATGTCCATCTTGCTTTTTCAGTATATGAACAAGAGAACTTTTAATTTAAAGACAATGGGAGAGATTTCAGTATACTTTAACTACCATACCATCTGAGGAAACAATTGTAGGAATCCAAAAACTGAAGCTTAATGATGCACCCAATCAGAAAGGAACAAAACTCTTTTTCCATTTACATACCTCTTAAAGAGCTTTGCATGAACAACATAAAAATCCACTCACTTGTACATAATGTAGCCGAAGAAGAGGAGGGATTGAATGACGATGAAGATCACAAAGTGTGTGGAAGAGAGACAGGTGGGTAAAGGAGGAAGTTCAGGACATTTCACCTTCTCTGCAGGATTCTAAGGATCGTGACCGAAAAAGGGGTTATTGGCATTTTTTTCCCCAGTTTTTGAAATTAATACATTTTTAAAATTAGAACATAGACAATTTAAACCAAGGCAGAAACCACATAGAGAAGTGAAGGGGGATTGGTAAATGACTAGATTCTATAACGTAATGTATGATATATTAAGTAATATTAAAATAAATAAAAAAATAAACTAAAAAAACTTGTTACAATA